GATTAGTTTCACGCGCTCTAAGCCCGGCCCGCGCGCAGTTAGGAGGATTGGCCTCAATCTGAGCGGTACCACCCATCCTACCCTACTACCTATAGGGGGCCGTCCGTCCTACAGCCGCCCGAAGAGGAACTGCAGTGATCTTGAATAGGGATCCTGCAGCGATAGATAGAATCCCCATAAAAAGACCACTAGATCGAGCACCAGTGATTTCGTATCCGGTCAAAATCTTGGCTAATTGATCGAAGTGGGTAGCTCCAGTAGACCCATAGATCATGGAACAAATAGGGTGGGTAGGCCACACTACACGTATAGACGCGAACCCCCCTCGTTACCGTACGTGCGACTCTCACCGCATACGGCTCGCACAAAGACTCCTCAATCCATCCTTCTTCCACCTCTCCAATCCACTTGCCTTGCGTTCCCCTGAAAGAAAACGGATGCGCTACGGCTTTCGCCGTTGCTTGTTCTTTTTCTTTCTTTGCTACGCAACTCTTTTTCTTTCGTTGCTTGTTCTTTTTCTTTCTTTGCTACGCAACCTTGCGCGCTCTTCTTTGCTTGTTGCTGAAAAACCACAGGTCTCTGAGAGCCTCCCGCAGTGCAGGGTGGGCGCTTCCTTCGTCTATCGTATGTATCGCTTGGCTTCGTCCCGAACCAAGGAGGCATTCTGGCGGGCGCGTGCGTGTGCCGACTGCAGAGACTACAAGCCGATGCCGGAAGCGACTCGCTTCTCTTCTCGTTGGGATATAGATGGGGAATCTCTATAGATCGTAGTAGTTCGCCAACCTATCTCACTAGCATACGATACAATTTCACTTCAAGGCACGGCAAAAAAAAAGAAAGAGCTTCGCTCGGTTGGCCCTCCTACGCTGACGCCTACTTTCTCTTCTCTGAAGTCTACAACAAGTGGGAGAGGCAGGATTCGAACCTACGTAGAAAACCTTCAACAGATTTACAGTCTGTCGCTTTTGACCACTCGGCCACTCTCCCCTTCCCGGGCCGACGCCCCCCTAAATGGGTTCCTTAATCAGAAGGATGGCGGCGTTCGTTCTGATTCAGTTCAGAAGATTGAAGGGAACTCGTAGATTAGCTAGCGTTCCGGGAGAAGAATTTCCTTTTTCATCCAAATTTATTGAAAGAAAGGGGCAAAGCTTCTACGACAGCTTCCCCCTCATTGCCATCGTAGGCCTTCCCCGGCTCCCCTCCTTCGTAGCTTCTGGCTAAGCATCTTTCGGCGGAGGAAAGGAGGCGACTAGTCGCTTCTCTTCTGGCGAAGCAGCGAGTTCATGAGCAAGTGAATGAACGAGCCAGCGAGCTGCGAGTGAAGTGCAACAGTCGTCAGGCGAGCCATGTTCCTAAAAGAAAAAAAAGGCAAGAGTTTTCTTTCCCATTTCCCAGTCCTTGGCTCATTCACCGATGCTTTGACTCCTCTATAGAATAGACATCAATGTTGGGACTATCAATCAACAGGCCAGGCTCTGTCAACAGGTTCGGGTACTGGGTCAAGGTCAAAGAAAAAAGACCTCCTGAACAGGTGGTGAAGGCTAAGTAGGTTCAGCCACAGGAGCAACCTAGGCTTCTACTCTGACGCTCTGCCGCTGGTGCTATTTCCTCCGCCTCCACAAGCTGCGAACTCTTCGTAGTAGCGCGGGATTCCACTGCTTCTTAAGCTTAGGGCTCACTCGACTTGGTCTCCACGCTACCACTGACCAGGTGACCGACCACTCCTTCCAATGTCAATGACTCCCCCAATGCCAGACTGAGAGAGAACGACCACCCCAATCATCACTGCTCAAGCCATAATTCTCTTTGATAGCTTGAGAGAGAAAGGATCAAAGAAGGTTCGGTGAACGCTTCCACGATTCTCTCGTGAATTCCCCTTTTGGGAACGCATGGATACCCTAGACTTCGTCATGGACAAACTGAGTGACTTTTTCTTCCCTTTTTGAGCGCCTGTGCGTAGTCTGCGGAACACGAACAGGTTGCGTCAACAGTGGTTCCGGAAGCAAGGCCCACCACGCACTCATCCCAAGCAAAAGACACGTCAGCAGCACGAAGCGAAGATCACATATAGAATATTGAAGCAAAGCTTCTTTCATTCAATTCAACATTCAAAACCCGGATTCGACCGCTTGCCCCCGAAGCATCGCGTAGACCTCTTATTCTCTCCGGAGATCGGAGTAGTCAGTCGTGCTTGAAAGCTCCGGTTGGGATCGATCGTTGAAGAGAGATTCAATGGAAGCTGAGTAGCGGCTGGAACTAGCGGTTTCCAAAAACCCGCAGACTGAAACTCGAGCCTTTTGAAAAGATCTCTGCTTCGTCAGTCAGGGAGAATTCTTGTACATGTCGCCCAGAAGCGCCATTTTGCAAACCTACTTTCTCAAAGGCGCTAGATCACACTCACTCCCCTAATGAAATTGGTTTTTTCCTGACGTTGCTACCCGACTGTGACTTTGAAAGCCTTAGATTTCGATTTGAGATTCCTGAACTAACGATGAACAAACGGAAGACGAATGACGGGTTTTCCTGATGTGAACTGCGAGAATCTTCTTTCAATTGATATACCACAAAAGTGGTTTTCTGAGAGTTTCCCAACAAGACTGCTCCACAAACAAAGGAAGGGGTAGATCTTTGTTCTCGTCTTTTTTCTCAAATACACTTTCTTTTTTTATCTTTCAAAATCAAACTATCGCCTTTCTTCTTCAAGA